GCTTTATTCCAAACAGTATTTGTGGTACAGGTATGGAATTTTCAGCGTTCATTACAATATTGCATCTAATTACCCCATAAATTTTATAAGATTTTAAAAACAAAAAGCAACAACAACAAAAAGAAAAAAGAGAAATAAAAGAAATAAAAAAGAACAGCATTGCATTCACATATTTAAACAATGCACCACAGGATATGAAATATAAAATTAGCGTGTAATAGAATATGTGAGCAACAACATAATAGTAACAAAGAAAGGAGAACAAAAGCTAATGGGAACTATTTGTTAGAGTGCCGCAGTAAGTTGATCGTGTCATACCTAACAGATTTCTCACCACATAACAGCTGTGCCAGATAAGGTATTGTGGAGTTTTTGTACTTGGTAGTCCCGGCATATAGCCTCCTATAGTTGCTTCTAGTTCCACCAGATGAGATTCAAGGAAAGAGCTGTGTATAGAGAGGGTGTTCGGGGTCTGACAATATATGACATTATATGTCTATCCACAATGGTGTTAACCAGTTGGTTTAACGAAATCCCACTTCCCCTACTAACAGCTTTTAGTGCCCTACGCAGCAAAGCAAAGTCTTTCTTAAGTAGTCCAGGGAAGATTAATGGGGAGCAGTAAAGAGGGATGGGTAGAATACAAGAATTGACAAACTGAGAAAGCAAAGACTGCTTTATACCAGACTGCCTTAACTTCCTAATGTAGAACGTTAAGCGAAACATCTTTCTAGTAACTAGCAAGATGTGAGAGGACCAGGAAAGATCGGAGGAAATACTCAGTGCGAGGTACTTGACATTAGATGTAGTTTCAACCTCTATGCCGTCAATGATAGTGGGACTATGTGAGCTAGCTAGTTGTTGTAGGTCACTTTTTCGTCTGAAAGTGAAATTTACTACCTGACATTTAGACGGATTCAGCTTAAGACCGTTTGAAGAGGACAACTGACTAATTTCCGACAGAAAGTTATTTAATTTGGAACAATCTGACTGAGAGTTGACAGGCATAGAGACAGAGAGGTCATCAGCATACTTGACAAAAGTGGCTACATCAGAATGGGGTAAGTCATGTAAGAAAAAAGAAAACAGAAAAGGAGAAAGAACAGCACCTTGAGGAACACCAACTAAAGTAAGTGAGGTAGTGGAGGACTTTCTATTGTAGACGGTGTACTGCTTCCTATCTGAGAAATAGGAATGCAACCACTTATTTGTCCAGCTCTCAGTCTGTGTTGCAGCAAGCTTACTTAGCAAGAGAGACCTAGGTTGTCTTCGCTTGCTCCATACCAAAGATCAGATGAATTGCCAGAAAGGATTAGCAACAGGGAACTTTGCGGAACGGACCATTCAAGAGCTTAGTGCTTAAAAATATGACGAATAAAATGGAGATGGATCGTATACACGCTGAGTAGGCCGTTGGATGATTCAGAGCGCAAAGTCATTACTCAAGTGGAATCTGGATGCGAGACAATGAATTGAGCGCACCCACCTGGGTGCGTACTGATGAAGAATCCCAAACTAGGACGAAACAGCTGTCCAGTACTCCCAGGTTTTCCAATGGTTCTCTAACTAATGTCAGCTCATGATGAAAATCCTGTAACCAATCAAATCCCTACAAACCAACACTTGAATATTCTTTGTGATAATTAGATATACCATTTGGATAGATATCAATCGAACTCATAAACCAACTTAGACGGACGCAAGAATCCTGTAAATGGTATATGAATCACACTTCTGCAAACATTGGAAGCTATGCCAATCTAAATGTGAAATTTTTAACTCTGCATGCAGCATAAGTTTATTCAGACAATGAACTTATAATGAGCTTGATACGTGACGCTTTGGAAAAAGTTAAACTTCTACAGCTAATGACACTGATCTTGACAAGACCTTGAACTCTAATTAATTCTGTAAATTGTGTTAAATCATTCAGTTTACTTACTTAATTTTTCATAATAATAATAATAATTTGCTTTATTCCAATGTTCTACTACTTATATTATGATTCCCTTGGGTTCCCAATGGAACATAGGGCTTCAACAACACATCTCCACTTTCTTCTGTTTTCTGCTATCCTCATAAGCTGGGTCCACGATTGCCCAAAGTCTCTCATCTCTTCCTCGCGCGATCACCTCCATGTCACCCTCACACTGACGACCCACTCGTCGCTTCCCGTTTGGATTCCACTCGATATATGGCCTGCTTTGCGCGCGATGTCATTCGACCGTTTTGCTCAATGTGTATCCGATCCATCTCCATTTTCCCCTAAAAATATGTTGAGCGATTGGCTCTTGGTTGTTTTGTTCCCAGCTACAGTTTCTTGTTACTAATTCTTTCTGACCAGCTGGCCATTTAATCTTCAGTATGGAGACAGCGAAGATGGCAGTTGTTGATAATAGTCTGAAACCTGTTGGAAATCCTTTTCGTGACACGCTGGCCAAGTTTCTAACCTGACTTGACATTGGTGTTGTAAATCTGAATCTTGTTCCTTGTGCTGGGTGCAGAAGATTCCCAAAGTGGTTTCAGGTTGATGAGGATGTATCTTGCCTTGCCTTCCCGATTCTGGCTGCCTTTGAAATCTTCAGCCTTTCCGTTTGTCTGTAGATGAAACGATACTTCCTAACCGGATAAGTGAAGGAGGTAACCTTTGTCAAATCTCCCCCATTGATGGAGATTGGCGCTGGTTGTTGTTGTTGCTGTTGGTGGTACTTGGTTATCTTCATCACCTCTGTCTTGTTTATATTCACTTGAAGTCCTGTCTTCGGTGCCTGCCAGACTCTTCAGACAGTTTGTTGCTTTTCACCTGAGTCATCGAGTTTGTATGACATTAAACATAAGTCATCCAAGCACGAAATCCAGATCTTCTAGAGTCTTCTTGTCAGTGGTCCAGCGTATTCCTGTCTCCTCGCTCCCACGCACAGTCTGACACATAATCCAGTCCACCACAATTAAGAATATCATCGGTGATAATAGACAGCTAGCTTGTCTTATTCCTGTATGTACTTCGAACGCCTCGCTGAGTTTCCCGTTGTGCATCACCTGGCACGTGGCATTGCCATACAGCCAGCTGTTGAATGAGGTTGATAAAGACTTGAGCACTGCCAACCGTAGTGTTGAAGTAGTTTTCAAATTAATTCTCGGTCAACGCTGTCTGGTGTGAAGGCCATTTCGAAGTCAATGAAGTTGAGGTAAAGAGAGGTTTGACTGCCATTCTATGCTTTGTTCTGTGACGACGATGCGTAGAGTAGCAATTTGATCAGCACATGATTTGCCTTTCCTGAATCCAGCGTGTTCTGGTGGGTGGGCGGAGTTCTGCATCTAATGCATCCTTTATTCTGTCCAGGATGACGAGACTTAGTATTTTACTTGGCATGAACAAGAGCATCCACCATTCCACGCCAGTTCTTCCACAGGTCACAGTCGCTCTTCTTTGGCAGCTTGACAAGGTAGCTAGCCTTTCTTCCAATCGGTAGGTACCGTTCCTTCTTTCCCAAACCTTTTGCAATAAAGCCGTGAGCACATCCTGCACTAGGCAATTCAAAATCTCTTGACTGTTATTAAAAAAACTAATTAATGGAATCATTCCTTTTGTTGCAACGAAAATGCATTGGATGTATATGAGATTGTACAGTCTGAGGATGATATCTCTGAGTAATATTGAGGTTGGGCACGGAGTATATACATATATATACATATATATATATATATATATATATATATAACGTAGTGAAGGTGAATCGATTGAGATGACTAGGATATTTGTTAGGTCGGTCGGTCTCCGACATAGAACTTTGCACATATGTGCGCCAGTTAAAGTCGCCACACTCGCTCCTTGTAGCACACAAAGCAAGAGAAGAAAGTAGGAGAAATGCATAATATAGACAGTAAACAGGTGTGAGACAAAGGAATAGTAATAACGAAGAACAAAACAGTTTCATTGGAAATCATGAGTCACAAGGAAAGGATGCATCTTCGCCACTGAGAACGATTTTGAGCCATGTCACCAATTGTTTCCAACCATTGGTTTTTACCCTCCCGAGGACTCCAACCAGGAAGTCTACACCTTCCTACGTGGCTTAGACTAACTGTTGTAGATTTCATTGACTGGTGCCATGTTTTCGTTTGACCGCCGCTAGCTCTTTTCCAGCCTGGCCCTATATCAGCTAATATTGCCCGTAGAGGAAGGCGATGACTAGGCATACGTAGCACATGTCCTAACCATCTCAGTCGATGTAATTTCACAGTCTCGTCGACTGATTTCCCCTCCTTACCTAGCACTCGACCGATGCCTCACCTCAATATTGCTCACCTTATTATACCACTTCACGCGGGAGATAGAACGTAGGCACCTATGATCAAAGACAGCTAATCTTTTCATGTCTTCTGCTCTCAATGGCCAGGTCTCACAGCCATTAAGGAGGACGGAGGGGACTGATGAGCAGTACACACGCTCTTTGGTCGATAGTCGGCATGCCTAGCTATTGCTTTCCTCGACGAGCATTGTTAGCTGAAACAAAATCAGGTTGGAAATAAGTCAGTGGTAGTCAGAAGAAAGCATAGCGTCATCAGTCAATGAAATTCATCGGGTTAGCCATCTAGGGAAGTGTAGACTTCCTGACTGGTTGGGTTTCTCGGGATGGTATGAACCAATGGCTGGAGACAATTGGTGATATGCGTCAAAATCCTTCTCAATGGAGCAGATGAATTCACCCTCTAAGATTCCTCATATCGACGATACCTCAATGGTTTACTTTTGTTACTATTCCCTCTTTCTCTCATACAACATTTCTGCATATTATTGTGATTTCGAATCTCTTTTTTCTCCCTATGTATAGTAGTACATGGAATGCGCTAAATTGAAACTAGTGCACCATTGACTGTGCACCAGACGACAGTCAGATACCTCTGAGAAGAGTGACACTTCGGTGGACATCTCTTTTTTTTATATAACTTAATGGGGGATTTTTAATCTATTTTATTACATCAGAAGACGAATTTTATGAAAGCATTTTTATTTTTAATGTAGAAAACATCTGTATATAATATAAATTATTCATTCACATTGATTTAATTGACTTTCTAATTGAACACGTAGAGCTGGATCAACATGACACTTGATCAAAGCATCAGCTAACACAGGATTGCCTAATTGATTCTGCCATAATGTTAATTCATTACGAATTCTGTGTATCAGACTGTTCTTTGTAGCAATATCAATTGGATAGACATAATAAAATTGAACATTTTCATCTTGTATTGTCAATTCATCCTCATCATATAGCACCTGTTGAGAAGAGAGAAAAAACAATAAAAAGTACTGCCAATAATAATAATTATTATTGTTCCCTTGGGTTCCTAGTGGAACATAGGGATTCAACTACACGTCTCCACTTGCTTCTGTCTTCTGCTGTACTTTTCACTTGCATCCATGTTAGTCCATACTGTTTCAACTCTTCTTCACACGATCTCCTCCATGTCACCCTTGCACTGACGACCAACTCGCCGCTTCCCTTTCGGGTTCCACTCGAGCACTGGCCTGACGGGCGATGTCACCCAGCGGCCTCCTCTGCTCAGCGAGTGTCCAATCCATCTCCACTTTCTCCTGCATATTTGTTGAGCGACATATTTTGCAATTATTTGTATGTAGGGTGGCCAAGAAACGATCATCAATAGTGAGGGATCTCTGGGAGCGAATCAATCCAGCAGGAACCAGCTGTGCAACAAATTTGCAGGAAGAAATGGAGGTGGATTGTCCATACTCTGAGAAAAAAACCATCAAGTGACATCACAAGACAGGCCATTGCTCGAGTGGAATCCGAATGGGAGGTGGCGAGTTGGTCGTCACTGGAAGGGTGACTTAGAGGAGGTCATGTGAAGAGGAGATGAAAGCATGTGGGCAGATGTGGAGCCAGGCGAAAACGCTGGCAGAGAACCGAACGCAATGGAGATGTGCGGCTGAAGCCTATGTTCCTCTAGGAACCAAAGGACATAATAATAAAAATAATGTACATAGGGATTTGATTAGTTTCAAGTTTGATCACAGATTGATATCAGTTAGGGGGGACCATTGAAAATTAACAAGTATTGAACGGTCATTTCGTCCTAGGTTAGGACTCTCCATCAGCACATACCCATGCCTCTACCCAGGGTGGAACCGACGACTTTCAGGTCACAAGACAAACTCGTTGACCATTCAGGCAATCTGTTGAATTCCACTCTAATGATTGGCTAGTTACAAGTTTATCACAGCAAGCTGTAGCTCTAAGCTTCAATTGTAGAAATAGTAAGGTTGCGTGTTAAAAATGGCAAGCCAAAATAATAATAGTGAGTTACAAGATTTTCATCATGAGCTGACATCAGTTAGAGAACCACTGGAAAATCTGGGAGTACTGGACAGGTGTTTCGTCCTAGTTTGGGACTCTTCATCAGTACACACCCACCGGGATTCGAACCCGGGACCTTCTGGTTACAAGGCGAGCTCGTATACCAGTGGCTTAATGGTGTACGAGCTCGCCTTGTAACCAGAAGGTCCCGGGTTCGAATCCCGGTGGGTGTGTACTGATGAAGAGTCCCAAACTAGGACGAAACACCTGTCCAGTACTCCCAGATTTTCCAGTGGTTCTCTAACTGATGTCAGCTCATGATGAAAATCCTGTATTCAATCAAATCCCTACAAACCAACACTTGAATAATAGTGAGTGTTCGCCAGTACCTAACATTATTTCAATTCCTGGTATTTTGAGTAATACGTGACTCGGTTGATCCAGCTGATTGTTTTGAAATATGGAAGTTGAAAGTGAAGCACCTTTATGCACAGTTTCATGTCAATCTATCTGTTTCGTTCAATTAGAAAGTTATTATTTTAACTTAATTGCTCTGGAGAGATTTTCCATGTACCACATCCATTTGTTTGGGAGCGGACGATACCACTCCCATTTGCCGAGGCTATTCACCACCACACCACTTGTTGTATAATTCCAATGCAGGTGAAGGATAGGCTATCAAGTTTGGCCATTTATAAATTTAACTGTTTTTGTGGAAACAGTTACATAGGTAGAACGACTCGGAAATCCAACGATCGCCTTATTGAGCGTTGTCTAAAGTGGTTGGGTGAAGAAGTCGTAAAGTCAGTCAGGGGTTCCATACTCGCACACCTTGTAGATACAAAGCACAAGATTGATAAGAGAATCTGATTTCGGGATTTCACCATGAACTGACATCGGTTAGAGGACTATTGGAAAACCAGCTGGAAGCATTGGACAGCTGTTTCGTCAGCCTAGTTTGGGACTCTTCATCAGTACGCACCCACCGCCAAGATCAAAATACAAGACCTTCCGATTACAAGGCTAGCGAGCTCGTAGACCATTAAAACACTGGGACCTGATCCAATAGCCAACCAACAAATTCCAAGTTCTGCCGATTCACGACATGGTGCGACCACTAGCGAATGTCATTGGCGAATATTTGTCCCCACACCAGACCTGCTGTACACACCACTGGTCACAACTTTCCACCAGAACTCAAGTAACTACCTACCTGAACAGGTCCAGTTACTAGTGAGCACTACATCGATATTCGGACGTTGGTTTGCAGACATTTGATTGGCTTCAGGATTTCATCATGGACCATTGGATCGAGCCTCAGTGGCTCAATGGTCTGTGAGCTCGTTAGCCTTGTAATCGGAAAGTCCTGGGTTCAAACCTTGGCGGTAGGTGCGTACTGATGAAGAGTCTCAAAATAGGATGAAACAGCTACCCAGTACTCCCAGGTTTTCCAATCGTCCTGTAACCAATGTCAGTTTATGATGAATTCTTGAAACCAATGATATTCCTGGAAACCAACACTCGAAATGAAATTGAGCCTTCACAACGTACCACCTCAATTCCCTGAGTTTGTACGCCTTGCTATGCTAAGCATATTCACAGCTGTTGCTTTAAAAAAATGTTCTCAACCCAATCTCTGTGTTCAGAAAAGGTTTTTCAATCCGTCCCCTTCTTATGGCCTTCAAACTCAACCCAGAATAGTTAGTTATCTCTTCCGGTGACACTGGCTAACTGTAAATGTTATCTTATATTTGTACTACTAACTTTATTATCAATATCATACTGTGATATAGTTTCATACTTTAATCTTAGTTTCACAAGTTATAATAATATCTAATTGCTGTGCGACAGCAGCTATTTTCCCCTCTACTCCTACTATAGTATATACACAATCTACTTACAAGTTCACGACCATCTAGATTATATAAATACCTGAATGCATTTATCCTTGTCATTATAATAATTATTATTATTATGGTCACCTCGATTGTTATCCGCTAAACCATATCCCTGAACTTTGTTTAGGGTCCTATTGATCCACAGGAGGTCAATCAACAGCCCGAATAGCTCAGTGTTAATCTCTCTCTCTCTCTGACTGCCACACTGGCTGACACAGGTTCGAATCTCACAGTGGAAATGACTTCCTTCACGAATAAAGATACACTTTTTTCTGACGAGTGACAACAAGCATAAAACCTAGGTCAAGCGCAAGCCTTCGCGTCAATAACTTCCAATCATCTAATTATTGATCCACACATTATCTCAAATGTCTATGACAAATATTTTATTAGGTAACTGTAAAGCTTGGTGAGAATTTAGCAGAAATACGTGTTCTACAAATTTATATGGGGCAAGATGAAAAGGTTGTCTGTGTTTGACCACAGATGTTTACGATCTTTTTCTCACGTTAGGTGGTATAATAAGGTAAGTAATGTTGACGTTAGGCGTAGAGTGTTGGGCAAAGAGGGAAAATCAATCGAAGAGGCTATGAAGTTACATAGATTGAGATGGTTAGGCCACGTGCTGCGCATGCCTAACCATCGTCTCCCCCGACGGACGGGCATTACTAGCTGATATAGGTGCAGGTTGGAAAAGAGTAAGTGGTGGCCAAACAAAAACATGGCCTCATCAATCCATGAAGTCCCTGACAGTTAAACTGAGTCAGGTAGGGAGATGCAGACTTCCGTGTTGGGGCCCGCCCTCGGGACTCTAAGAATCAATGGCTGGAGACAATAAGTGATACGGCTCAAAATTGTTGTCAATGGCTTACGCAGATGTATTCAGTCTCTGTAATCTTTCACATTCCTTTCTACCATTACTCATTCTGTTTCACTCTTATACTTGTCAAAACTCTATTGATTCTCTTCACTCATTTTCTTGTCTACGTTTGTGTGCTATTTGGAACGTGGCAACTCGAACTGTTGCACTTCAGTGCCAAGTTCTATGTTGAATCCGGCCAGCCAGCCATATGGGGCAAGATTCCAACCCACGCCCCTCTGACTGAAAGTTGATTGTTGAAGCCAATGAAGAGACATAAGAAATATATTCATATTTTTATTAGAATAGCTTCTAGAGTTCATTGCCTCAAAACGCTTTTAAACAAAGGCCGTCCAGCTAGTCTGTTAAAATAGAAAGTGTGATATAAATCCATATAGTCTATAGACCAGTTTTAAGCTAGTTATACAAAGGCTATCAAATTTTTAAAAAAAACACAACGTAAATCATGATTTTGTTATTCTTGTAAAAAAAGATGCCTTCATGAGACGTTTGCTCAAACCATGCCTAATATATAGTTAAAAATAAACACACACAAAAAAAAGAAATGTAACAAACAAATATTTTCAAAGATTTAATTTATTCCAAGCTTTATCACGATTGATTTCAATTAGAGAACCACTAAAAACCAGCAGCGGATTACTAAACAGCTGTTTCGTCCTAGTTTCCAACTCATCGGCAGTACACACCCGCAGCAAGGGTTTTGAACCCAGGACCTTCTGGTTACAAGGCTAGCTCGTAGATCCTTCAGCCCACTGGCACCCGATTCAGTGGTCAACCCGTGAATTCTAACTTCTACTAATTCGTCATTTTAGCGCCACCATCAACCAATGTCACCCGCGAGGATCTGTCTTCACTACCGACCGGGTGCCCCTCCTCCCGGTGGCTGAATGGTCTAGCAAATTGTCATGTGGCCAGAAAGTCTTGGGTTTAATACTCAGTGGGTGCGTACTGCCAACGAGTCCCACGCTAGGACGAAACAGTTGTCCAGTATTCCACTACTGGTTTTCCGTGGTCAAACTTAAAACAGATATTGCCTAGTTGGTATGATGTGAGTATGTGTACGTGAGTAAGTGAGTGAGGGTCATTCGAAAAAGATAAAAAAACAAAAATATTTTACAAACCTGTATAATAATATTGATAACTCGTTCAAGCCATTCAGCATGCCAACTATCATTAACAGCTAATTCTTCTAAAAATTTTGAATCATTTAGCTGAATTTCATTGAGAGTATATTGTTGAACACCTTGTCTTAAACAAATAATACAAGCAATAGCTATACAACGTCGATCTATGTAAGTTGAAAGAGAATCAACTCGTCCTAACCAACGAGTAAGTGGAGCAGTTAAAAGATTACGTAATTCAGGTAATGAAGAAATTGAACAGTGTTGATTAATTAGTGCGTTACACTCTTGTAGAAGTAAAGGAATACTATGAAAACAATTTTCATCGGTATATTTATGAATTAATTGTAATATATTCATGAAGTATAACCTAAAATGAAAATGGGGAAGGAAAAAGAAAAGGTTTTTTTATGCCATCAACAAATTGAGAAGCAAACTGATTAGGGGAATGTTTAAAGATAAGTAGGAGGTCAGTAGTACAAAGAAAATGTATTGACAACAGTGCTGTCCATTATACAAGCTGATTATATGTTGTTTAACAGTATGGCGTGTATGTACCTGTTGGCCTGAATTCTTCATATAAGCGTAACCTGGTAAAGTGTCTGGTTCATAGAGCCAGGTTAATCTGTTCAGACAATTGCCTCAATGAGGAGCTTAAGATTATTAGAGAATTACTTAGAAAAATGGTTATCCACATAAATTCATTGGGAAAAATATGAATTCAGCACCTAGGAGAGTCAGTATAGCAACAGTTCCGAAAAAACCAATGTTCATAAAACTGCAGTTCCTCGGTGACAACATCAGCGAAATAATAACACAGTGCCTGAAGAATGCAGTTAACAGAGCTTATTATGCAGCAGAGGTACGTTGTCTCTTCACAACCACCCCTATTCTACGTTCGAGAAATAAGGATAAACTACCTAATTTTGCCTCTTCTATGTGTATCTACCAGTTTGACTGCAGCTGTACCTGCGGAGCCAGCTACATTGGGCATACAATTAGGCAGATTCATCGTCGTATTTCCGAACATCATCTAATATGGTTAAGCAAAGGACAAACAAGAGTTATTCATAGCTCTATTTTAGCACACCTTGTAGATGCTGAGCATAAGGTTGTTGTTAATACAGCATTTGAAATTATCTATCGCATTCCTACTAATCTTAATTTTGCTCTACGAGTTCATATTCTATAGACAGCTGAAGCAATCGGAATCCACCTGAAGAAGCCAAACCTGTGTGTTCAGAAGAAATTTGTACAGCCACTTTCCTTACCGTGACCATCTCTAGAAGAATGCATAAACAGGACTGCGTCGCCCCCCTCCCCCTAAACCTTTAAAAACTATAAAAATTATAATTGTCCAAATTATTTTATTTTTATTTTGACCACTTCATCTTTAATTACGTGTTATCCTTGTAAAATTCATTTATTCTAACCATTTCTACTTTTTACAAGTGCATTGGTTTTCTTCGTTTATTATCAACCCATTGACATTTTGACACTGACTAATTATTGTTAACAAACATATCGCCATTTGATTGACGAACTGTTGTGTATTGTAATAAAAATGCTATATATGTATTAGAGTAGAGCCAGAGATGAGGATCTAATTGAAAAGTAAATATTTCTTAGCTCAATCTTTCTGTTTTCTAAATATCTTTTCCTCCCTATAGCTTTTTTCAAACATCTGGTTAATTCATTCTCTAATTCGTTATTGAAATCTTTCTTTTCCTCAAGTTTTTGAAACTTCTGTGTGCTTTTCAATATTATTATTCATCTTTTTAATATAGTCACTTCTATCGAGGGGGACTAGTCCTCTTGATCCTTTATCAGGTTTTTTGACTATTAGCGTTCGCTTTCCAAACGTATCACAGAACACTTACCAACATGGTTTTACAAAGGAGAAAAACGATGCCCCCGCAGCTCCATCTTAGAACATCTGATAGATTCCGGACACCAAGCTACACACCCCCAAACAAACTTCAAAGTCGTCTATAGAATACGAAGTAGTCGTCCTAAAGGTGTATGAATCAGACTTCTTCAAACTGCAGAAGCAATGGCGATTCACTTGCTAAGTCCTGAACTCTGCATACAGAAGAAGTTCGTTCAATCACTATGTGGTGAGAGCAAGCTGCTAGCCAATTGGTAGACATTGATCTACGCTGATTGGTGGAAATTAATCTAGGCTGATTCAACAACCGATCACAGCTGACCTAGACGTGGACAAATATGATTCGCAGACAAGTGGCTCGCATTTCCGAGAAATATCGAAAACGAGAAAGCAGAAGACTGCGTTTGTTTGCAAACAACCAATCAGAAGACCGCCTTCTTTCTGCGGGCAGAGCCTTATTAATGTACGTAAAATACATATAAATACCTGTTGGTTTTCGTAATAAAACTGATCTGTTGCCTGGCCCTTGTCTTCTGTTGTTACAACTACACTTGTAATGGATGTAATCTATCTTTTTACTCGACAAGTAAATTCTACCTAATATTTTTTTCTGTCTGTTCATTAGTATTATTTTGTCTTCTCAATTGTAATATTTTGCATTTTCAACTTTCCTGTTCTCTACCCCCACGCGATTTAATCTCTGCACCTCATTACCACTGTTACAGACTTGACCAACACTCAATTTCTAGTCATTTATGTTACGTCATCCAAGTTATTTGCTCAATTTCAGTTCTAATTTAAATGGCATTATTCTCTACCCCACTTCTACTTAGTCCCTATCTGTAATTGGCTCTGTTGCTACCCTCACCTTTGTTGAAACATTTTAGTCAATCATATTAGGTCATCTAACTTACTAACTCAATCTTACTTTAGTTGCTGTCTAATTAACCTTGTTTCTATATTAGATCATCCTTGTATTACGTGATCAATTATCTAAACTTGACAAACCTCATTTACACACACACACAAATAATTATATATACAAATGCGATTGTGAATGAATTCGCCGGCGAAAAGTCTCTTCGCCGAACGTCTTCTCTTTTCAATATGACTCATGGGGATTTTTAAGCTATCAATCAGCCTTTTGTCATTTATCAATTTCTTTACTTCTTCTCCCTCTCTAATTCATTTTAGCCACTGAAATAAACAGAGGATAAGATCTCATCCAATGTGTTAGTCATATGAGTTTTCTAGTTAAAAACAACGACAACATGATGAAGAACAAAAGGAACAACTCACCACATATTTGGATATAATACTAATCTAGCAAGCAGTACCAAGCGAAGTTCTGTTGCCTTTGGAGTGACATCATCATGAGCATTTTGTGGTGCACGAATTAAACAATATCTAGCCGCTAAAATAAGTAAAGCAATTCCACTTGGTGATGATAACAATGCCGCTGTTGTTGTTGCTGCTGCTGCCACTGTTGACTGTTTCAAACATTCAATATCCAAATAGATTGTAAACCATAGAATGAAAAATTTTAATTGATTCAAGCTGACGCAGGGTGGGGGTGGGGGAAATAACGATAGAGAAGAGAAAAAGAAAAGTTAGGACGTTTAACATGATATAACCGCTTGACTTAACCATTGGCAGTTGTTCTTTCTCCAGTAGGAGAGAAAAACAGACTATATACAAAACTTGCGTAAAGCATGTCCTAACTATAGCATCCAATCGAAGTAACTTCACAACCTCGTCTATTGATTTCCCCTCCCACTTACCTAGCCCTCGACTGATGCCTCACCTCAATATTGCTCACCTTATTATACCACTTCACACGGGAGATAGAACACAGGCACCTATAATGGAAGACAGCTAGCCGGCCTTTTCATGTCTTCCACTTTCAATGACCAGGTCTCGTTCACAGCCATAAAGAAGGACAGAGATGATTGCTGAGCAGTACACACGCCCTTTGATCAACAGCCAGCTGGATATCACGTCTGTACCAGAGATGGCGTAAACTAGCACATGCGAAACTAGCCTTGTATATCCGTGCTGTGATTACGTCAGTGATCATCTCGTTGGCACTGGCTGATGCTACTTCCCAAATAAGTGAAGTGGTCAACACGCTCCACAAACCACTTCACTCCTGCCTATTTCTAAGCTAGGAGTGGGTCAATGTAGTCCAGTCCTGAAGCATCATCTTACATTTGGAAAAGTGAGAGAATCACATACCAAACATTCTCAGATTGAAGCTCATGGTGTTCAGAAGATTCTGCATATTGTGTCAGCGTCCTCACCTAGAAGGACTATATCATCCACATGCATATTCTAAGTCAACGAGATTATTCCCTAGTAACAAGCCAATCCCTGAGTCACTGAAGTGAGTTAGGGTTAAGTCAATTAGTACATCTATGATGAAAGTGAATAGAAATGGGGATAGTGGGCATCCCTGACGGACACCACTAGTTGTCACTACTTCAGATGACAACTCGCCGTAAGCTATCACCTGGCTGGCTGCATGAGTTCGAGTAGAGTAAGTTCGTTGATCAGTGCAATGTATTTTCTCGTCATTCGCTTTACAGCCAAACATCGCTATAGTACATCTCGGTGGACAGAATCGAATGCCGCTTTTAGGTCAAGAAATACAACGATTGTTGGACGCCATCGGTAAGTATGCTTATGTACCAGAATCTGTCAAACGGTGAAGATATGATCAATACACCCTCTCTAAAGCCTGCCTTGTTCTCACGCACCGCCACGGTTCGAACGCAGGCCCTTTAAGTGGTTACAAGGCAAGCTCGTAGACCATTCAGCCACTGGAACTTAACTCAATGGTCAACTCATAAATTCTAACTTTTACAAACAAACAAATAAGTGGATAAATAACAGCATGACCACCTTTGACTGTTTACCTTCCTTCAAGTACTAGGCAAGGAGGGGAAATCAATCCACGAGACTGTGAAATTACATCGACTGAGATGGTTAGGACATGTGTTATGCATCAATGCCTAGTCATCGCCTTCCTCGACGGGCAATGTTAGCTGATATAGGGTCAGGCTGGAAAAGAGCTAGTGGCGGTCAAACGAAAACATGGCACCAGTCAATGAAATCTACAACAGTTAGTCTAAGCCACGTAGGAAGGTTTAGACTTCCTGGTTGGGGTCCTCGGGACGGTTAAAACCAGTGGTTGGAAACAATTGGTGACATGGCTCAAAATCGTTCTCAATGGCTGTTGCAGATGCATCCACTCCTTGTGACTCATGATTTCCAATGAAACTGTTTTGTTCTTCGTTATTACTATTCCTTTTGTCTCACACCTCTGTTTACTGTCTATATTATGGATTTCTCCTACTTTCTTTTCTTGCTATGTGTCCTACAAGGAGGGAGTGTGGCGAATTGAACTGCCGCACATATATGCAAAGTTCTATGTCGAAAACAGACAGACAGACGAAAATCTCCTGGTGCCCATAAAGTACAATCGTACTGAAATCAAAATGTGTTACTCAACAAACACTTGAATGTATACATGCAGTTGGCATTCAGTCACGCTTATTCTGTGAAGGCTAATTCTACAACCTGGCTGAGAAAATTTCCGTAGATGGGATGAGGCTCCAACCGGCTACCCAGTAGTAGTTGGAAGTCGATTATTGCCAAGACCAACCACCACCTACAGCTCCGCTAATAGTCTGTACAGATGAACAGACATTACACACTGGTTATAATTCTGCATTGTTTTAGAGAACTTGCAGAGCTAAAGACATTTCATCGAACACCCTGTCATTTTATATGCGCAATTGTTCATTGAAAGATAGCCTAGCTAATCAAAAACACTTATGTTTGTCTGGTACCAACTATCTTCAAATATACATCTGATTATATGCTAAATGAGTAACACTTGATTGATATAATCATTCGTATCAATCTCCACCAAAGTGTCACGAAGACACATCAGTAGAAAAAAGAAGTCGGAAGGCAAATAGAATGAGAATCAACAGATCACTAGCTAGAGAGAACCATTGGAATACGAGGCTGTTTTGTTCCAGTTCGGGACCAGGGTTTCGACCCAGAGCTTCCGGTTACAAACCGAGCTTGTAAACTATTCAAACACTTGGATCCGATCCAATGGCCTTATGGAGAGTTTACTTGCCGACCGCATAGGCTGGCGATTGCACTGTGTATATCGCGAATTCGCAGAAGTTGGAATTCATGGGCCATTGGGTCGGTTCCCAGAGGTTGGATGGTTTACGAGCTCGTCTTGTAACCAGAAGGTTGTGGGTTCAACCCCCTGTGGGTGCATACTGCTGAGCAGTCCCAAACTAGGTTGACGAAACAACTGTTCAGTGCCCTCTGGTTTAGAATGGTTCTGTAACTGATGTATCTTATCTTTATCTTGATTACAGCTTAATTTCACACAGAATTTTAGTACAAGTATGGAATTTTCAACATGTGCTATAGGTAGCCCAAATTTTGCAGGTCGACCATTGATATCAGGTGTGCGTCGGCAGGGGATCCAACCCCAGACCATGTGCATGGTCGGCGAGAGTCTTAACCGCTGTGCCACCGACGCTTATGACCGAACCTCTAGCCATTCAAACTGTTGTAAACCAACAACTTAAAGGAACTATTCGTCATGTGAACAAAAACAAGAAGATATGTGCTTGTAACACGCATGAGATGAGAAAAAGTAACTAGTAAAATGTGATAATGGATAAGTGTGAGCATTTTTAATTTTTTTTTAAATAATAAACGGACATCATACCGATATTTTGATTCTTCATCTGATCTATTGTCATCACCAACACAGGCAGCTTGTGAGTACAAATCCTCTAAATTCACTTGTTCACATGATCCCCAATTTAAACTGACCATTAAAATAGACATCCAAAATGCTTCAGACCATTGACTGACAAAATTGTGTAAAGTATCACAACCAGCTTTATGAGCCAGTCTCAACGTTCCATAAGCAATACGAAAGACTAACTGAAATAAAATGCAAACAAACAAACAAAAAGACAATTGATTACGCAACATGATATAGGTAGAAAAATTGTAAATGGATTCTTAGGACGAGAATATAACTAGTCTGGTCAACAAGAAATTTAAAGTGTTGGTTTGTAGGGATTTGATTGATTGGTTACAGGATTTCATCATGAGCTGACATTAGTTAGAGAACCATTGGAAAACCTGCAGGGAGTACTGGACAGGTGTTTCGTCAACGTTAGTTTGGGATTCCTCATCAGTACCCACTCACCGCCAAGGTCCGAACCTAGGACCTTCCGATTACAAGGCTAGCATAGCTCGTAGACCATTAAGCCACTGGGACCCGATCCAATGGCCAGTCCATGAATTCTAACTTCTGCCAATTCATGACATAGCGCGACCACTAGCCAATGCCTTCGGCGAGTATTTGTCCTCACACCCGACCTGCTGCACCATACTGGTCACGACTTCTCACTAGAACCCCAGGTAACTACTACCTACCTGAATAGGGCCAGTGGCTAGTGAGCATCTCATCGATATTCAAGAAATTTAAAGATCTAATTTGAGAATTATTGTTCACTTTCCTGTTTCATCATTCGCTTAGCATGTGAGTTACTCATGACCTCTAGTTTTGTAATCAATCAATTCTAACATGTTTGAAATCTAGTTAGAATAGTTTATATTTGTTTAAAAGTAGCCAGTGAAAACCGTATGAATAACCAACCTACGACTGTATAGAGACAAGAGGTAAACTTTTTGACTTCGGTAGTCAGTTATACAGGCTCGACTAAGAGAAAGAACATGCGTTTCCTTAAGGTTATAGAAATACATTTGAGATAAGCGCTAACAGGTAGACAGTATTAAAGTCTGAGGTGTTCTACTGAATACCTCGCAATGTCGAATGTAAAATTATCATTTGATCAAATTCACAATCTGCAGATGTACACAGTTGAGGGCGGGGGGGTTGAGATTTAACCAGTAGTTTCCTTTAGAAACCACGTTATTCACATCCCAGTATGTGATCTACTTTATACTATGAATAGTAATCAAGAAAGTAAGTATAATTGCATTGTAATATATACTACTGATTGATTGAGATGAGTAGTTGTATACACTACTCATATCAACCAGTAGTGCTTGCTGCTAGCCAACGAGATTTAGGCGATCTAAACACCGAATGGCCATCCCACTCGTTTGGCGTCGAGCTCATCAGCAGTGTACCCAGTTTGAATCACCTCAAAGAGCCTAATCAGTTCACGCCATCTAATTCCTGGCTAGCTAACTGATAGAACTGGTGTTACAATAAATCAAGCTCATAATTTCCATATTCGCGATTTACACAGCTCGAGGAGGTGAAATCTCACCATGGTTTCATTTCGAAGCCAAATCATTATTGTTATTATAGCTGTTCTGGTGAAATTTTACCCCCCCCCCCGGCTGTGTAAATTGCAAATGGTGAATTTGATTCATGATAACACCAGTTCGCTCAAGTAACTAACCAGAAATCAGGTGGTCTGAACTAAGTCGTCTCTTTGAAGTGATTCAAATCCGATACGCCACTGATAAGCTCGACGCCAGACAAGCGGGACGGTCATCCGGTGTTTAGATCACCTAAATCTCGCTGGCTAGCAAGCACTACTGGTTGATATGAGTAGTGTATACAAATACTCGTCTCAATCCATCGGCAGTACATAGTTTTGTGCAGATTATCACTTAGTGGTATTAACTGTATTAGAGAAGCAAGATGAGGAAGGCGATGTGAGTAAAAGAGAATGATGCTCAGGAAGGCTTCGTGTGCTTTTGGAAGTGTGTGGGCGGTTGTTACTTTCTGACCGCCCACACCATGGAAGCTGATTGATTCTTCGGGTACCTGAAACAGAAAGAGGATAAGTGTTGCGTGACTACAGAGCCCAGGGGACAACTGCTTGAGGTCGGTCACACATGGCATGTATGAACTGGTTTCTGGGATTGGTTCCGTATTGGTAAACTTACCGCCGGTTACGGACCACCGTAGGGTAAGTCGCGATGTACAATTTTTGGGGTCGACCGTTTTTAACCTTCTCTCTCCGGAGTGGAGAGACAGCATGGCTGGCATGCTGGTCATCTGAGGGAAACACCTCACTGCTGTTACTTCGCCCTCAGACCCCCAGCATAGTGTAGGAAAGATTCTTACACAATGCCGGTAACTGCTTTTAGTCTAATCGCTATCCTAACAACCTTCCTGGCATGGTAGGACCTGCAGGAACATTGGTTCCAGTCAGTGCAGTTTGTTCGGACATCGCGATGTGCAAGCCCGACCACCACGTCAAGGTAGCATCTATCGGTCGGGAGATTATCAATTAAGCTATCAGAAATACATAAAAGTCGTCAATCAGTTGTCTTATCACAAAAGCTGCCACTCATCAAGGAGATAAGACTTTGTTTCGTGCACTTAATTATGTTATTGTTATGCCAAACCTGTTTGACTTGATAATATAACCTCAAAAACAACATTTTCTAAACTGACAATCTTAGTAAAAAGGAATTCAACCTAAAATATTGCAAGAAAAAAAGATTATGGGTTTTCTTTGCAATAGAAAGCCTAAAAATGCAAAATGACTGTTTCGGTAACACCTATGCTCGGTTTTTGTATCACAAGTTACCACAGAGTCATTGGATTGTAACCCAATGGCGACTGAATGGTCGACAGGCTCACCTTACAACCTAAAAATCCTGGGTCAGTCGTGTAGTGGCATCATTAGAACACACTGTTGAAGAGTCCGGAAACAGGGCGAAAAACCTGTCCATTTCACATTGGTCTTCAATGACTCTCTGATTGATATCGATTTTTAACGAAATTTACATTGAAACCCATAGTTTTATTTGAAGTTACTTTAAGTTCAGTCGATTGATCAACGAAATTAAAGTGAAGCATCATAGATTGAATTGTACTCATCAAGTCGTTAGTACAGATGATGCGTATTTTTAACTAAGGATAATTTACTGGTTGGAGCCACTTAAGGAGGTATAGACTGTCTCGTTAGGGTGCTCAACACGCTAAGCACCAATGGTTTGAGACTATTTATGATGTAATTTAATAATTCCCATTGTAGCACTAAGAACACAATATTCAACGAATTTATTATCAAGCTGTACAATCGTATATATATGGTTTTTTTTTTATAAAAATTATATCCGGTGAGGGAATTAGGTCAAAGGTGTGAATACCTGACTTGATGAATCCCGCTGGTCACGCCTTGTAACCAGCAGGTTGTGAGTTAAAACCGTGATGGGAGCATACTGATGAAGCGTCTCTAACTAAGAAGAAAATATTGTCCAATATACCTTGTTTGTTTTAGTGGTTCTCTAAGTGATGTCAGCTTGTGATCAAACCTATAGGCAATCAGATCTCTACAAATCATCATTTGAAAACTGTTTAGAAACCCTCATCGTAGATTTTAAAATACAGAGTAGTGAATGAAGAATTTTCATTTCGATATCTTTTTATTTATCTTCTATAGTTATGTGTCCATGTTAGTTTAGTAAAGAAACAAGTGCAACCACTATTTCTAACCTGACCAGCCTTTGGATCTGTAAATTTCTAATTATTCTTTATTACATCATACATTTCAGATGTGAACTTTCATTATGTATATAAACATTCCGCCTGTCTCTTACTGAATGTTTATAAAAAAAACTAAAATTCATCTTAATTATTCATCTTTTTGTAGCTTAGCATTTGCATAGACAAGCCTCTTGTTTTCTTAATTGATCTTTCCAAAACATGGCTTCATCAGTCAATAAAATCCACAACAGTTAGTTTAAGCCAGCCACGTAGGAAGATGTAGACTTCCTGGCTGCTTAGGGTCCTCAGGATGGTACAAACCAATGAAGGCTGGAGACAATTGATGATATAGCTCAAAATCGTTGTCAATGGCTGGCACAGATGCATTCACGCTTTGTGATTCGCCAATCATATCCAATAAAATTCTATTGTTCTTCCATAATACTGTTCTTTTCCCTCACACTTCAGATTATAATTTGTCTTTTGAATCCCTCTTTACTCTCTTATTTTGCTTTGTGTGCTAAGTGAATTGTGGCGACTCGAACTGCTGCATACCGATGGAAAGTTCTACGTTGAAACCAGTCAGTCAATCAAGCAGTTTCCCCAAGAATTATTGCTGTACTGAGTGACCCAGTGACTAAAACAATGGGGAAAACTGAGACTGACTTCAAACAAGTTATGTAACAATTCTAAATCATAATCAAATATGTCATGTTAACTTCTTTCATATAACTGAATTATGTTTCACAGAATTTCATGTAAAACTGTTGACGTATGCGTAATTTTAATGTATACATATATATATATATATATAATTATTTAACTTACATCAACTTGTTCTCCAGAATCTACACGAGCAAGTAAAGGCTGTCTTAAGGATCTATCCAAAGACATATCGCCACCGGATTGTATTAAACGTATACTATCACCAACTAGTAAAGGCATCAAATTGACCAGATCTGATGACCATATTGAACCGTTGCCCTCAACTAAACTAACCCATAAACGTAGACCTGGTTCAAATAGAGCCTCTGAACCAGCTAATCTATTCTCCGTTACATTGTCTAATGACATCTGAATTAAACTGATTACAGGGTTACGTAACAAGGTGTTGAATTCAGGTAGTAATGAAAGATTTTCGTTAGATGCATTAAGTTCAGTAACTAGAAGGCAAACAGTATCCAGAATGTTGGCTCGAAGTGCAGCACTTTGACCACCTATCAAAAATGAAAAGAAAAAAAAACACATATTATCAGTCTGAGCAATTCAGTGCCAGACTAGAAGATCAAATGATTTACTATTTATATAACAACGAATATTTCTTCGCATGTGAATGAGAGAATTATCGCAAGAAAGTACCATGAACATGCTTAAAGAGACCGCATAGATTAAGATGCAAATAATACTGTGGAGATACTTAAATTGTATATTAGCACCGACTATCTTCACCAATTTTTCTCATTTAATTAAACAGGTCATGTTGAGCAGTAAGCTCAATCTTTAACCGGCGGTCAAACATATCACACTATTGGCATAAGTGGCGTTATTAAAGTGATTCAAACCTTTATAGACCCCATTCAACAGCTATATGACAATGCTATATAAATCAGATGATTCATAACAAAAAGCTTAAAGAAGCCCCTGAAGTGCAGAAAGGAGTAAAACAAGGTTGTTTAATATTACTGATGATATTTTTAACGATGGTGCAGTGAATCATACAACAAACCGTGGGTAGCACCAAGAAGACGAGCTACAAAAAGACTCTAAAAGATCTATACTATGAAGATGATTGATGTCTGATCTGACACAAACTCGAAGATCTACAGACAAAAACCAGTAAGTTGGTGAAAGGAGCAAAGAAGACAGGAATTCAAGTGAATGGAAAATACATAGGTTGGTAATTCCCTTCTTACCTATCCTTTGTCATTTTTCCTTTTGTGTTAAATTTTATACTATTTATCAGCATTAAGTAGTATGAGTTTATATGTTGTTATTTCATAACCATATTTGTTGTTGGTTATTGAAAGTACTGAATGTATTCCAATTGATATATATAGTAACTATCTTCTTATAGTTAAATGACATCTGCTACATATGGTTTATTGATATACCCCTGTCTGTTAAACAATAATCATTTGAATTTGTTTATTATTTGTCCGGCATTCATGCGCTACTTAATCTACCCATGGATCGCCCGTGACGCAGCTTTGTTTTTTCTTATTGACGCGCAGTGGCTGTGCGTTTGACGGTATTCAGTCACAGATACCTCAGCATTCGAGGTTTGTATATAAGACTTCATTATTTTGTATACAATATAGTACTATGCTTTAGAATAATCCGGTGTTCGGGATATTACGCGTGTAACTCGAACGTGTGCTTTAACTAGTCGATTGGAATTATTGCTCCAAATTTCTTAGAAGAAATCCACAGACGAGATGAAGGTTTCTAGTCAACAATAACAAGCATCAATTACCACCAGCAGGAGAAATTAGAAGGCAGTCACTGATTTCTAATAATATCTACGCAGCATCGTTTAGACTGCAGACGACAGGGATAGGGATATCAAAGTCAGCCCATATCGGAAAAGCGAGACAGACCTACATTAATCTGAAATCGGTGAAGAAATCTGATGCACTTAGCACAAAGAATAAGACTAGGTTGTTTAACACACATGCCAAACCAGTCCTTCTTTTACGTACAGAGACTTGGTGAGTCATGAAAAACCTTTCCAACAGACACTATAGTAGACATTTCTTAACAGCTGTTCCTTCGCTAGCTCCGGGACTGAAGATAAGATGGCCAGAAGGGATTAGTAACAAGGGACTCTGGGAACAAGCCAACGGCGAATCTATCGCGCAATAAATATACAGGAGAAAATGGAGAGGGATTTGACGTATACTAAAGAGAGACATTTTAGTGACATCACACACCAGGGCCTTGAATGGAATCTGAATGCGATGCGACAGGTTGTTTGTGTGAGGGTAACATATTGGAGATAGTGTGACGAGCAGATAAGTACTCATAAGCAATCGTGAAAACAGCTAAAAAGAGACTGCAGAGAACACAGTGAAACAAAGATGTGCTGGTGAAGCTTTATGCTCTACTCGTAACCTCCAAGGAATAAATATTTTTTATTTATTTATTTAAACGCAGAAAAAACTTGGTACAATATGACACCAAGAAAGATGCGCCACACAATAATAATAAAACAACATAGATTAAAAGTAAAAATATAGGTAGAGAACGGATAAAGAACTTCATCTGGAAGGAAAACAGTCATGTTTAACAAATTCAAACAGCATTCGTTAACTGTCATCATCATCATCAAAACTCTATTGATTCTCTTCATCGCTCATTTTCTTGTCTACCTTTGTGTGCTATTTGGAACGTGGCAACTCGAACTGCTGCACTTCGGTGCCAAGTTCTATGTTGAATCCAGACAGACAGACAGAGTCATCAGGAAGGGAAGAAAGAAGGAAATTGCAACACGTTCGCCATTGATTACGATTCTTCGCCATATCCGATAACGTTTCGAGCCATCGATTCGAGCTGTCTCGCGGACCCCAACCAGGGAGTAAGTGACGCACCAACCAATGCTAATCTAGCACAAATATCCTTCATCCCACGACGCCACGTCATGGACTGACCACCCCTCCGCCTTTTTCATTCCGTCCCAGGGCTAGCGAACAGAGACCTGTACAGCACATGTCCAAGCCACCGGAACCGGTGTTTCCAGATGACGACACTCAACGAATGGTGATCTCCACTGTGTTCAAACACACGCCGCCGAACCTCAGAATTACTCACGCGATGATGCCATCGAACGCAAGCAATCCTGTGGAGACAGCAATGATCGAACACGCAGAGTCGCCTCACATCCTTAGCTTGGAGAGGTCAGGTTTCACAGGCGTAGAGCAAGACAACCCATACCGAAGCATTGTATACCCGACCTTTGACAGCCAGGCTAACGTCGCGACGGCGCCAGAGGTGGCTCAAGTTAATGTATGTCACCCTAGCCTTCATTATACGGTTGGAAATCTCATCCGTCACCCTTTCGCCAGCACTCACACAACTACCTGGATACACAAACTTATCAGCAACTTCAAGCGGTTCATCCGCAAGAGTGAGTGCAGGTACAGGCTCCTGCCAATAACAAATGAGTGTTAAATGCGTATTGAGATTTTTGTCAACAAGGTAAGTGAAGTGGCTAACAAATACAAAGCCATTTCACTCCTTAAGATTAGATAGCACATATCACTGCAAACTAATTCTTAAGTAGTAATTGAAAAATATGTCTCAAAATAATCAAAATTTTTCTATCACAGTGGAAGTTGATGTATCACGTTGCCACCTATTTTGAAAATTGAAACTTCGTAAATCCTTGTCTTTCAAATATTCCGTTCCCTTGTGTTCCAGGGGTAACATACGGCCTCAAACTTAAGCATTGAATTTTCAGCAACTGTGGTGTTTATTTTTTCACGTGGTGGGGTTTCTAGCCTCACACTCCACCTTCTCTCCTAACCGGGGTTACTACCGGCCTAAGAGTGCGTCAGCCAAGGGTCGGACCCCGGACGACATGTGTAGCTGACGAGTAATCTACCGTGGGATCACCAATGCACATTCGATAAACTATTCAACAACAAAAAAACAATCAATATTTAAAGTTAAGAATGATACAAAATGGCTTAAAAAATTCTTTTGATTTGTCTACACTTCACTCATTAAACATAGCAAACAGGTACGTAGAACACACTTAATAGTTGTAATGACAAAAAAAACCATGCCAACAATTGACTTGAGCAACTCCTCAATAAGTGGAGCATTCGAGTAGTAATACAAAGAAAGGCCTACAAAATTATACAAGATATAATTCAAAACGAATTTATATCAACACAAATGATTATGTAATACTTACTAAGACTCCACAAGTGATCTAAAGTGCTTAAGATCGGTGATGTAAGTTGGGGAAAGGAAATCAGATCAATTCTTTGAATTATATTTCGTAATACAGTCAGTAAATAGATTCGTGTTTCGCATTCTCTGACATCCTAAATAAATAATAAATCAATTAAATATCTATAATGAAGATAATAACTAGTTTAAGAATTATTAGAGACAAAAAAATAATAAACCTCATGAAGTAATCCATGCTATTCCAGGTTTTGGTGGTTCACTGGTAGAATATTCACCAACCATTCACGTGATCCACTGTTCAATCCCCATCCGACACACTCCTAGAACCTTGTTTAGTCGCTAGTAAGCCCAGCAAAGAGGAAAGGTTGGACATTGGACTAGCAGCAACTTTACACCGTAAAAAGTAAACACTACTGCTACTGAAACTTCAAAATTCGTTGTTTAAGCCCTATTCGCCACTCGGAAGGCAAAGGAGTAGAGTAATTATTAAATAACGATATTCCAATATCGTAAAATGGCTTGGAACGGCAGTCAGTTCTCTATCTCAACTTCGATAGCGTTTATCGATAGGTGATTTGGCAGCTACTTCGCTACTAGGGGGTGACGCCAACAATTATACACCTCATCCAACAATTGTACGACAATACTGCGCGTGCCAAGTAATCCACAGTGGGAAACTCACGGAATCCTTCGAAGTGAAGATGGGAGTAAAACAAGCTGGCTGACTACTATCTCCAATGATTTTCCTGATTGCAGTAGACTGGATAATGCGACAGAGAGCGGGCAACGAGGAGATAGGCATAAAATGGACCCACACAAAAAACTTGGAGGATCTGGACTTCACCGATGACTTATATGTGTCTGATTTCCCACAAACTGGAAGATATGCAATTGAAAAGCAACAAGTTGGCAGAAGAAGCATCCAGAAAAGATAGGACTTTCTTCGGGTGAACATAAAGAAAACAGAGGTGATAAAGATTCCTGGCCAACAGCAACAGCTACAGCAACAACAACAGACAACAATCAGCATAAATGGGAGGAACCTGAAAGAAGCAACCTCTTTTACCTACCTGGGAAGCATCGTTTCAACTACAGGCGGACAGAACTGATGAGGATATCAAAGCGAAGATCGGGAAGGTAAAGCAAGTCTTTATTACTTCCACGTTTGTGTGGAGATCAACAGCACTCAGCATGAAAAATGAGATCTAGATTTTCAACTCTAATGTGAAATCAGTGCTGCTATATGGATCAGAGACTTGGTATCGCTTTACGAAGGGCACTTCAAACAAACTGTAGACCTTCATCAACAGCTGTCTTCGCTCAATACCACTCAAGATCAGATGGCTGGCCAGAAAAAATCAGCAATAGTGAGGGATTTCTGGGAGCGAAGCAACTCAGCAGAAATCAATTGTGCAACAAATATGCAGGAAGAAATGGATGTGGATTGGAAATACTCTGAGAAAACAAACCACCAAGTGGCATTACACGCCAGGCCATCACTCTTGTGGAACGCGGTGAGTTGGCCGTCAATGCTAGGGTAACTTGGAGGAGGTCAGTCATGTGAAGAGGAGATGAAAGCATATGGGTAGCTGTGGAGCCAGGTGAGCACATTGGCAGAGAGGCGAACGCAATGGAGACGTGCGGCTGAAGCCCTATTCTCCTCTAGGAATTAAAGGAAACAATAATAATATTAATAGTACCGTAAAATCCACTGTAAATCCAAACACCAAAAATGGGTTTCTTTTACTCAAGGAGAATTTTTCGAAGATTCAGTGAGAGAATTTCAAGCATACGAAATAGAAGGATGGAGTAAAGATGTACAGATGATATTAGAAAATAGTTGTAGTGTATCTTGACTGATAGTTGCTATTTTAATGTGGTCGTCGGGTTCACGTATTAGCAATGAACCAATAAATCATACTGTTTTTGGAATGATTGTTTCTGGAAGTCCTAACATGCCAAAAAGGTCGGTCAGCTAGCTACAGGACAAAAAAGAGTGTAAACCGTGATGCCTATATTAGTGATAGGAATGTGTGAGGTCACAATAAAATGTCTACCTCAAACGACCAGAAAGCGCTTATCATTCTCTCTAGGTGTAACCAGTTACTTCACAAATAGTCTTCATCGATATCCTATATGCAGTGGTTCCTCGACGGGCAATGTTAGCTGATATAGGGCCAGGCTGGAAAAGAGCTAGCGGCGGTCAAACCAAAACATGGCACCAGTCAATGAAATCTACGACAGTTAGTCTAAGCCACGTAGGAAGGTGTAGACTTCCTGACTGGTTGGGGTCCTCGGGACGGTAAAACCAATGGTTGGAAACAATTGGTGACATGGCTCAAAATCGTTCTCAGTGGTGCAGATGCATCCACTCCTTGTGACTTATGATTTCCAATCAAACTGTTTTGTTCTTCGTTATTACTATACCTTTGTCTCACACCTCTGTTTACTGACTATATTATGCATTTTTCCTACTTTCTTCTCTTGCTTTGTGTGCTACATGGAGTGTGGTTACTTGAACTGCCGCACATATGTGCAAAGTTCTATGTCGAAAACCGACCGACCGACAGAGTGGTTCACATATTGACGACTTCAATTATCTGAAAAGTTACACCAACTCTAGTGTACTGCTTGATTGGTGAGATTTTAGAAAAAGTACGCAAAGCAGTGCCATTTATATACATATGTTTAATTTCCCGTTGAAGATTAAATTTACTGCTTAATATTGTATTTTGTCCTAGTGTGTGTGTGTGTGTCTGGTCGCGTAGTGTTGCTTCGATATGATGGAAGATAGGTGCATTAGTCCTACGTAAGATAACTGTCAGTCAGAAATCTACTAAACTTCTAGCTACACATGATGACTAATATAGCTAATGTAACAGCTTAACTTATCACGATAAAAAATAAATTTGTGAAAAATGTACTGATAAGACTGAACTTCTTATGAGTAATGTTTTCTCTGTGAACACATGAAGCTATAGTGAGTTCACTTATTCAGAGAAATATTCAATACAATTGAAACTTGTAATATTAAGAATGTACATACTGTGTGTACATCGCCTATGACGATAGCAAAAAAAACAGAAGTTTAAAGAAACCAACTCAAATAAAAGTTGTCATCTGACCTGAATCAATACAAGTGTATCATTTAGTAAACTTTCTGCATGAATTGCTAAAATATCCTCAGGAAGTACTGGTTCTTGTAAAAGCCATGCAACACCATATACAGCTGCAAGTCGAATACACAATATTATTTGATTTCTAGATATCTCTTGACCCCAGTTGGTAGGCCGACGTAGAAATTGATTTAAATGCAAGAGAGCATCGTTACACCGTGACTTCAATGATGAACTAGTCATTTGAAAGAAAATATTTTTTTAATTGAGTTTAACAGTTTACGGAGAAAGAAACATATATATGAAAAAGAGAAGACGTTCAGCGAAGAGACTCTTTTCGGCGAATTCATTCACATAGCTGTACAATCGCATTTATATATAGATATATAATTATTTGTGTGTGTGTGTGTACATGAGGTTTGTCAAGTTTAGATAATTGATCATATAATACAAGAATGATGTAATATAGAAACAAAGTTAACCAGACAACAACTAAAGTAAGATTGAGTTAGTAAGCTAGATGACGTAATATAATTGACTAAAATGTTTCAACTTAGATCAGGGTAGCAACAGAGGTAATTACAGGTAGAGACTAAGTAGAAGTGAAGTTGAGCAAATAAGTTGGATGACGTAACATAAATGACTAGAAATTGAGCGTTGTTCAAGTCTGTAACAGTGGTAGTGAGGTGTAGAAATTGAATCGGGTGGGGGTAGAGAACAAGAAAGTTGAAAATGTAAAATATTACAATTGAGAAGACAAAATAATACTAATGAAGAGACAGAAAAAAAAGATTAGGTCGAATTCACTTGTCGGGTAATAAGATAGATTACGTCCATTGCAAATGTAGGGACTGAACGAACTTCTTCTGTATGCAGAGTTCAGGACTTAGCAAGTGAATCGCCGTTGCTTCTGCAGTTTGAAGAAGTCTGATTCATGCACCTTTAGGAAGAATACTTCGTATTCTGTAGACGACTTTGAAGTTTGTTTACGGTGTAACTTGGTGTCCGGATTCTATCAGATGTTCTAAGATGGAACTTATTCGCTCAACTTCACTTCTACTTAGTCTCTACCTGTAATTACCTCTGTTGCTACCCTGATCTAAGTTGAAACATTTTAGTCAATTATATTACGTCATCTAGCTTACTAACTCAATCTTACTTTAGTTGTTGTCTGGTTAACTTTGTTTCTATATTACATCATTCTTGTATTATATGATCAATTATCTAAACTTGACAAACCTCATGTACACACACACACACACAAATAATTATATATCTATATATAAATGCGATTGTACAGCTATGTGAATGAATTCGCCGAAAAGAGTCTCTTCGCTGAACGTCTTCTCTTTTTCATATGACTCAATGGGGATTTTCAAGCTACTCAAACATATATATTCGCTTGATATACATTAATAGCTTTTACTTTGACTGAACATTGGAAATAACTAATGTTATGGCGTCTATTCCTTGCTACTGGTGCAGACTAAAATTCTATCATTAAAGTTTGCAATGTCAAGGAACTCATGTCCCTTTTGAGATTCCAACCCTGGTCACCCAATGCAGTTATTCGTGAGCCTAAAACGTTCAGCAGTAACGTCCTGGGCTGGAGAACTGGATGGATCTCAGAGGGGATATGAGTTTTTTTTCTTCAAGACTGATGACATTGCCTTTCTGACGGGTGCCAACAAGCACGAAACCTAGGTCAGTCAAGCGAGGCTTCCTGACAAGTGCCTCCAACTATTTAACAATAATTGATAGCTTTTCTTTATCATAAACGTAATTTTGAAATGACCAGTTTACCAATATGCCGATAAGTATAAATCGTCGACAACACCAGTTGTGAACATGAAGGTAATTCAACTACTCATTCGATAACTGCAGTATTTTTTAATAATTTTACACCGGAAAATCGAGCTACTTATAAGTAGCTCAAAATTCAGGTAAAACTTTCACAAGCATAAATATATCTTTTAAATACCTTGAAAATACTGGGGGAAAAACTCGTTAACATACTTACGACTCCATATCATTTGACGGAATACACATTATACCGTATCGCGATAAGAGGCAGAGAGTTCGAGTCAAAATAACAACGGGTGGTATTTCATCTTCTATTGGATGCGATCCAAGACTATTCTGTATAGAATTCCCTATGGCTAAACCTTCAGTTATAAGGTGTTTAGTTAGATTAATCCAATTTTCTTTTGTACCAAAATAAGGCAAGCATAATTGTGTCAGTCTCATAACAGCTTCATAAATAAATGGTTTGTCAGTTCCAGCATTTACGCCCTGATGATAAATTGAAGGGAAAAAATTAAAAGGTAAATTTAATAAAACAGGTGCAATAGAGTAGTGATTAGGACTTTCGAGAAGAAATGTAACGTCTATAAAGGCTAAATTACACTGAAGATAGACAAAGATAACAAAATGTTGCATTCACCTTACTATTCGCGAACGATATCAGTGTCCTGCAAATAAGCCTGCTTTCTTGATTACCTATCATTAATATGGAAGTGTAGAACTTGGACACTGCGATAAAGTGCAATTCCATATAAGATAAGTTTCTTTGTTACAGGATTTCATCATGAGCTGACATCACTTAGAAAACCATTGGAAAACCTGCAGGGAGTACTGGACAGCCGTTTCGTCCCAGTTTGGGACTCTTCACCGCTACGCACCCACCACCAAGGTCCGAATCCAGGACCTTCTGGTTACAAGGCGAGCTCGTAGACCACTAAGCCACTGGGACGCGATCCAATGGCCCATGAATTCTAACTTCTGCCAATTCATTATTTATATTTATTTATATTTATTAGACGGTGCATCGGTTTCCTATAAACGCTAGTTATCTAACCCACCATCTATGGTATCTAGCAGATTACATACTGCGATCTGAAAATTTGGTTTTCAAAGGAAATTGTGGTGAGATTTCTCCTCCTCCTCGAACTGTGTAAGTTGCAAATTACGAATTTGATTTATGGTGCTAATAGTTCGATCAAGTATCTAACCATAAATCTGGTGGTTTGAACTGATTTGGATCTCTCAGCTGGATCAAATCGCTGATAAGCATGGTCCCAAACGAGCGAACAGTTGCCCAGTGTTTAGATCCCCCTGGTATGGCCAGGTTGTCGGCTAACACTGCGTCAGTCGAGGAAGGCGATGGCTAGACATGCGTAACACATGTCTTAACCATTTCAGCGTATGTAGCTCCACAGCCTCGTCGATTGATTTCCCATCCTTACCTAGCACTCGACCGACGCCTAACCTCGATATTGCTCACCCTATTATACCACTTCACACGGGAGATAGAAATGATTTAGCTCATCCATTACGAGTGAAAGCAGAAATTTATGTATAAAACAGAACCGACTTTGGCAGGAAGTTTGGGCAGTACCAAGCAAAGAAGCTAATTATGTAATACCAAACGTACGGATACCTTGTTTTTTTAAAAACATATTCTTAAATAACAGATGTTATTATGGTATTATATGGAGTACCATAACACAAAGGATGGTGAGTACAAAATTACGAATGAACTGTAACTGATGAAATTTATTGTTGTTGGCCTTTCACATAACTCATAGCAACAGATTACATCAAAAGATGTTACCTGCTTAGATTCTACCTATGTGGAATGTCGGAAATAAAACTAAAATGTTTTATCTTCAAACCACTTCTCTAAATTGTGTACCATACACTGCTTTTAGCCCACACATATTCAAGCAATGAAACATTGGTAACTCTCCCCAGAAAAGATGAATACATATCAAATATTTCTATGACAATGACATTACTCTAACGAACTCGTGGTTTCGTATCTTGGTTATATCTCACTTATTCTTTTGTTGTGTTCATCAAAAGCTTTTGAAACGTTTCTGGTGCAACTAAATTCAGCTACAATCGAATTTTAAACAATAGACGTCGTTTTATGTGTTGTTATACCTTACGTTTAATGTGTTAGGCATAACTGTCTCATCTGAATGATCAGTGTCTATTAAGTGAACCAGTATTATAATCTCAAACGCAATGGTATATATCTTCATGGAGCTGAAAATGAAGTTGATAAGCATTACTTACGATAAATGGCCAACCTTGATTTTTAGTATTAGTATCCGTCAAACCGTGTAACTAAGTATGAGGATATAAAAAGGACACCAAAAGAAAACCGAGTTCCATTACGTCAGTACACAAAATAATTTCTATGGGATGGTTACAGTAGACGGAAACTATTGGAAACAAATAGAGCATAGAAATAAATAGAAGCAAAAATTACTATACGCTTAAAATAAACTAACCTGAATTATCTGATAAAGTAAAGGATTCAAATCCTCATAAAATCGAGAATATACTGTAAATATAAGTTCTGCTAACTGACGGCATGGTTCGGCATTAAGCATGTGCTGAGAATTGTCAGAGATCCCCATCAATGTTTGAATATTACACCTCCACAACTCATTTGTTTGACAGTCAACATTCCAGAAAGAATTGAGACTAACATACTCTTCAACATCCTCAACTTCCTTGCTTGCACTTGTATTGGTAATACCACCTGAGGCTAAACAAGCTTCTGGATCACTAGTAAGAAGTTGAAATTCCTTTGGAGTGAACAGAAACCAATGTTCAAAGAGAGACATAACAAAATATGACAACTTGTTATTTACTTGTCCATTGTTTGATAGACAAGACTCGGACATCCATAATTCCAGCTGAAATATTAAAGTGTAACAGCATAAACATTATTACAAAACTCAAAAATGCTTAAAACATTCTGTGTAATGTATAGGAAAAGTATAAAGGATGAAATCTATGTGTGATATTTATATCTACATCAACAATCAACAAGATATGTGAAATACGAATTATAACAAGAATGAAGATAGTGCCAATTTAAAAATATCGCCAACAAGAACTATCCGGACGGCAAACAGCATAGAAGGTGAACGAATGAATATTATAAAGACAAAGATAACCAATCTGGTAATAATTACAATTAAAAGGTATGTATGACGGAGAAGCGAAATTAGAAACTTTGCGTCAGATGGTTTCATTTAATTCCATATTAGGAAAGTTTATTTGACAGAACACACAGTAATGCTAATAGGGAATTATACTCTACCATAGCGCTCAAATCGCACTCTCACATTAGTGGCTTTATTTACATGTAACCAGTTTTAAAGTGAATATTTGTGGGCAGAATAATTTCAGTAGTCAATGTATGCTAACCTAAAGGAAGCATAGACGGACGAAGTCTTGCTCGTACATAAAACTAATAACTTGTCACCCGGAATAAACTATTTGGAAGCACAGAGGAAAGGTAAATATATTATAAGTAGTTCCCGTAATATAAGTCATAAACATTAGCGACAGAATTCTGAAATGAAGTTATGATTAGTGCTACTGCTTCCTTTTTATGGTGATTGCTATAGTTAACTGGAAAATTTTATCAAAATACCAGATGTCTGGAGGTTTTGCAGTGCTCAGTACTTTATGATGTACTTAACTACTTTAAATTTTCCGGTACATTATAACTAGTTTTATGTTTAACAATAAAACTGACTGAAAGACTATCAAATACCATAAAATATATCAAAACACGTACTTTGTGTTTTCCCTGTTCGGTAAGTGCAATGTGACCCCTATGTTCAGAAGATTTGGAGAGCAACACGTTGTATGTAACTGCTAAAAGCCACTTTACTGCATGTCTATCCTTGTAGCTTATTTTTGTCCCAGTTGGACATGAAACAATAAACAAAATATGCTCTAACACAGACTCAACAAAGACGTCGCGAACTTCTGGAGACGCAGATAGAAACACAGAAAATAGCAATTTTGATACACGTCGACGAAAAACAGATATTAGAGGGGATTCTCCTTTACTTGGTAGATCTTGAAACGCGAGGTTCAGAGACTGGATAGAGACTGTAAGAGCCGCTTTGAACAACTTATCTGTGTTTTCTGAACTCATGCAGCTAGTGTAGTCTATTAAAGTGAAGCACGAATAGAGTAATCTCGCCAACTTGATGCCAGGGTCAATGTTTCTTTCCGGGCTTTCCAAAGCTATCCGAAACGACTCAATAATATTTGGTAACAAATCCCTGACTAGTGAGTTGAAAGCCCGACGTCTCCAAGGTAACCTAAAACTTCCAGCAGCTTTTAATCCAGATCTTAAGGATGACCACGCATGCCAATCAACAAGCCTATGCCAAAAGGAATCTGACCAATCATTCTTCATCCACTCATTTCTCACAAAACTTGCAACAAGTTCTGCAATAATCGCACCACTTCGTGGGGAATTTTCAGTAGAGTTGGAAAGGTTAGTCTGTTCTACTCCACGAGATATATAACCGAACAAAAGCCCTTCTAACTCTTTCTTGACATTGATATCGACATTTGGCCAAACTTTGCAGTCGATAATTATATTTTTGAGGTGAATAAGACCAATAAAACGTCCATCAGCTGACAAATGATTATCACACGAGAAAACGCATGCAGCAATTGCTGAACAAACTTCACTGTAGTTTTCCTTCATTTCAGTTAGCATTGTAAGCTGTTGGCTAGCCGGAAGCATAACTTTTGGATCTCCACAGGCAGCAGAATTAAGCAAATTTACAATATCTACAGTCATCAGTGCAGATGTAACAACAAGAGTGTTGACAGTAACGCAACCTTCGGAAATGCGCTGGATTTCGTCCTTCAGCATTTGTTTCACTAGGCAGTAAATAATTATTACTAAGACTTGTTTTAGAAGCAGTGGTAATAAGAAAAGATAAATCACCATGTGAAAGATACTGATTATTAAGGTTATCGTGATACCGTATTCAAGGAGTAATTTTTAATCAGGTGCAACACTATGCAAAATCACATTCAGGTTCTGCATACTAAACAACTTACTAAGCAGAATAATATTTATGTTGAAACACGAAACATCTGAAAGCATCAAAGAACCTTTAGATGACCGAAAAATGATGATTAGCTAACAAGCAGCTGGGAAGCAGCTTATAGTCTTCACTTATTTGAGGGGCTGTGGTGTAGGCGCAGTCCCAAGACAAGCAGGTGCAGTTGTCGGCAGTGCTAAACTTGTTTTGACAGTGATCAAGTGAAGTATCATGTAACTGGAAAGGATTAGGTGTTTGGAAACTAGGAAACTAAGGAAAGACTAGGCTGCTTGACAGTCACTTTAACACCAAGTCTAATTCTTACAGGCGCCGCGCGAATAATCTTTGAGGGTACAGACTTGCAGCGTTCAACAAAAACGGAATACAAAAAGGTAATCCAAATAAACTTGACTGAATCCGAAAAGACGAGAGGTGGATATGCATAAGGTTGGGGAGAAATGAAGTGTGAAATAGAAAATTTGAGAAGTGCAAAATTTAAATATAAGGCATCAGACAAAGTAATCCATAACTGGGGAGGACCGTATGAGAGCCCAGCGATGTGATCCGATATAAAGCACAACAGAAAAAAAACTAAGTGAAACTGGTAATTACTGGTCGGAAACGTGGCATCAAGAGATGGTAATAGCAAGATGACCGCTGAATTTGTGGAAACGACTTTGCAATGCAGTGTTAAGCGAGATTAAGCTGGCAGTCGTGTGGAGCTTACCGCAAAAGTGGTGGCAAATCATGGACAGCTGGTAAGATTTCCTTTTGACAGTAGTGCTGGCGAAAGATAATACAAGATGGAAAAAAGTGATTATAATATCAATCAGTAAGTTGGAGTGTACTACCAATGCAGATTCAGTTGATTGAATTCCTTTTGATAAACTTAATCGGAATGTGAAAGTAGAACTGAGGGGAAGCTTTCCATATTATGTTCGCTTTAATAGCAAGCTTGGTAGGTGATAGCTCTACGCCTAGGTTACTATCGTCCTTGTTAAGGACTCAGAGTATTGTAGGATTATATACATGGTTTACGCAGAAACTCGCAGGGACACTATGAAGAACATCATAAGCTGCCTCGGAGGTTTTGCATACGGAATTATCCACCAGCTGATTTAGCTGTGGCTACGTCAGTTGGTAGCTTCGAGAGTAAGTTAAAGTAACGCGCAAATTGGAAGGACTGTGGAAGCACTGTGGTTATGGAAGATTGTGCTGTGCTCTTTCCGGATGTTTGTCTCAAATCCGCTAGTGCCACTTGTTCTTATTCTATGTTCTTCCTAGGATTTCACATGGCTTTTCTGAAACATACCGAACACCATCGTCAAAATTAGTCGACAATTTTGTTCTTATTGCGTTTTTCGGTAGACAGGATAGATTTTCTGCGCAGGAATATATCAGATATCGGCAAAGTTCAACAATATCATCTTAAGGGATGCGAACGCACGAGTGACCTTCAGCTGACTTATCATAAAAATAAGTAGTTTTTGCACAGAAAATGACGTATATTTACAAGAAAATGTGTGAAAACACGTTAAACATGACATATTTTTCTGACATGGCTTGAAGATAATCATAATATATTTACTCCTCTCTATGTAGGACACACCTGTTATAATGGGAGTATCATTTGTTAATTTAGGCTAGCTCCTGTACATATATTCACCGAGGTGACAGAATATGAGCTGCTTCTGTGAATCTCTTTTATCCCCACTTACAGTATTCCCTAATAGCCCTTTGTTGAATTACTATGCTTTCAAGTAAGAGGATTGTAGCGGTAAATAATTCCCCAAAATTACTGACCACAGCAATCATCACTCAACATTGGATGCTGACCCTCACTGTTTAAGTCGACTTCTTTAGCTGAAGGCTTCCGGTCAAGCATCCTTGCCATTTGGTACTCCGTCGTGTCACGTGCGTGCATGATCACTAGCTAGTCAAGCACTCTATAAGGTTTACTATTTGGTCCCGAAATATATCACGTACTTTGGACGACTAAATCTTTTGCTTTATCTTCGGTACACGAGAAACGAATACTATAGAAGTTGTTGGTATAAGATCTTGCGTTAGTATACTCCGTACAATTCGCGAACGTCGAAAGGATAAATGACTTCTTACCAGTAAAATGTGGATAATATAACAAACTAAAATAAATAGCATCAACTATAAATCTATCCTTGGTCTTAACCCTAACCTTAATCGTGACCCTAACACTAACATTCACCTTAATCTAAAACTTAATCACAACACTTCTTCAAACCCTGATCCTAAACCTAACACTAATATTCACCTTAAGCTTAATCGTAACCCTAACGAGCTATTAACACATTGTCCAAACAGTACTTTAGGCGTGATCTGAGTGAAATTTGTTCCTTAGTTGGTAAATAGCTTTGATATTTCAGCTATGATAGTACGCGCGCGCTTCGAAAAGGAGAGTGGCATTTTTTACGCTGTGAAGTAACTTCTGCTTTTGTTGTGTAAATCGCATCAGAATCTTTTTGATTTACTTTTACTGGTTTAATTAGGTGAAGTAGTGTCTATTTTTGTGCACTTTTGTGACTTTTTGTGTGGTTTTTATATCTCTGTATTTAGGCATATATATACATATTTATGTGTAACTTAAACAGCTTATACTGACATGAGTCCCACAAATAGTTGTGGACGACCGGACTGCCACTTTCCGGTGGAGGATGGGATGCAGTGTGATAACTGCAACCTATGGTTCCATAAAGTTTGCACTGGCTTATCACCATCAGCCTATAGGAGAAGCAGCAAGCCGTCATCTCCATGGATGTGCAAATTTTGTGCAAACCCGTTGGATGTCCTCATCCAAGAGGCCGTCGGACATCTCATGTCCAAGAAGTTACCAAAAACCTCTGATGAGGGGAAAAATGCTGCATCTAGTACAAATGTTATAAACGAGGATTCTGGCCTTAGTCATAAAACTGAGGCAGAACCACATCCCCTAGCTTCGAAAGAAGCAACAGAGGTGAAGTGTGCCCAGCAGTCTACAATAGCACGCAAAAAGCCCCGAAAACCTAGGAGAGCAAACAGTGTCAACATTGTAAGACAGCAGGGTGATACCACAGAGATGGAGCGTTGCGTGTCTGGTGAAAGCACAGCTTCCAACTGCGGTGAGAGTAAAGTGGAACCATCTGATTCCACCTGGCTAGTGCCGAAGAATAGGAAGCTCAAGAATCACAGGAAAGGGAAAAGTACTGTGGTTAGTGATAAGGTCTCAACGGCTGTAAACACTGACAAGATTAAACCTTCGGACTCAAATTACAGTATAGTAATTTGGGATTTGGAGGAATCGAAGAAGGTAGATCCAGCTGCTCGACATGCTGACGATCTCGAAATAGTTAGCTCCATCATCCGTGAAATACTTCCGGAAAAAACAAATGGTGTTCACATAAGGAAAGTAATCAGAATCGGTAAACGAATCGCCGATGCAACGGAAAGTTCCCCACGACTGCTGAAGGTAGTATTGGGGAGATGAAGAAAACTATTATTCTCAATAACGCATTCAAGATCAAGAATAAAAAATGAGAATTAGGCCAGACTGGCCTTTGGAAGATAGAATTAGGAGAAGAGAAGCTGTGGCTGAACTAAAGGCCCGATTAGAAAAAGGTGAAAAAGACATCAAACTGTTGGGTTTTCGGGTAGTGAGGTCTCGGAAACCTATGTTACCCAGACCTCTGTTCATAAGTCGAGCGAACACATAGGTCTCTCAGTATGCTACAAGAACGCTTGTAGTCTTAGGAATAAGCTTCCCGAACTAGGAGTGTTGACTGAGGAACTGCAGCGGGATGTGATTGCTATCACCGAAACATGATTGTTAATTGATATAGACTTAACTCCACTCATACCTGGGTACATCTGCATTAGAGCAGACAGATTAAGTAGTCCGAAAGGTGGGGGGTCGCTCTATACATTCGAGATGACATAGGAATTAGGTCGACGTTGTCGGAAGCTCATGACAGTGGCACCTGTGAAGCCGCAGGTTGTGTCATTAACTTGAACAAAGGCACTGTAACGATAGGGGTTATTTGTAGAACTCCTACCAGTCAAGCTGACAATTTCGTTATAAATCACCTCAGGCCGTGGAGTAGAAAGAATAGGTGTCTAATAGTAGGTGATTTTAATGCCCCGCATATTAACTGGGAGGAATTGACATCAGCTACTTCGTACAACTGTTTCAATAAGGAACTAATACTGGCAGTACTTGAATACGCACTTGTGCAGCATATGGATACACCAACACGATACCATCCTGAACATGATCCGTCCACTCTAGACTTGGTGCTAACACACCAGAAGGAGGATGTTGGTAACATTAGGTGCCTGGCGCCGCTAGGCAGTAGTGACCACATAGTTATTACTTTTATGTTCAGGATCCAGGCCGTCATACATAGGTCAACAGTCGCTCGCCCAAACGTTTGGAAAGCGAATACACCTGCAATCCGAAATGCAGCAACCCTAGCTGACTGGTCTGTTAACACACACCAGACTGTCGAGGAGGCTTGGATGGGATTTAGGAATACACTAGAGTGCGTCACTGCACCCTTTGTACCTTGGTCTACGCCTCAAAAATTATCTCATAAACCACCTTGGATTAGTAATGAAATAAGGAGGTTACTAAGAAAACGAAAGAACTTATGGGACCGGTTTACTGTGACAGGGAGGGATGAGTTTCGGGTAGAATACCACAAAGTTCGAAACCTTTGCAAGTATGAGATTGGTAAAAGTCGTATAGAGTATGAGAGACAGTTAGTACTGGATTGTGTGCATTATGCAAAAAGACTGTTCTCGTATAT